TTTTTTTTTGAGGACTAAAGGTTTTGAAGATTCGATGAGTGGATAATGAATTCTCATAGGCGAAAGTCTCTCTTGCTTTTTTTTCTGCACAAGGCGCGATCGATCTAAACTGTTGTTGCATATTGTTAGAAGATGAAGAAAAGTTGTGAAAAAACATTGTAAATTCATGTTCATACCTCTTTTTTATTTTTTTATTTTTTTTATTTTTATGTCCACAACGAAATTTGTTTTTTCTATTTTCTTTCTTATGTTTATAGAATAGCAATGGTTGTAATATTTTGCCTCGAGAATTTATCCAATACATTCATCCATAACCAACAATGATGATAATAAACAGATTAATTCAATGTAATTTCTGGTAAACAATGAGTCTAATATTAATAGAATTTGAAGTTAAGTACATTCCTCCGAGTACATATTGACACGTTTTTATTAACACCACGCAATAAATAATGGTAATATGAAACTACAGAAATTCTATGGAGCTATCGATTGACACTCTTATGGGGTCATCCATAACTTAATGTAATGACACATGTTCAATGTGCATTTATTACAGGAACGTGTCAATACATCATCATTTGTGAATAACAATAAATGACTTCATAAGCCGAGTCATTCGATGGCTCCGTAGCAAAATCAATGAAAACAATACCCTCTATTGTCAATTAAATATGATTGATTAACGATAATCAAACATGCAACGTTATCAAAAAAAAAAAAAACATAGATATTTAAATTTAGCGTTACGTAAACATATATATAAAAAAAACTATATTTAGGGAGATGCTACAGTCCCGTTATGGAATCATTCCGTCAGATTTTGTAACCGTTAGATCAATTCTCCCCGACAGTTACATGATGATCAAACGGTTACAAACCCCGACGAAATGATTCCGTAACGAGATCGTAGCACTTTCCATATATTTAAATCATTTTGACAAGTATAATATTTTATAGTAGTCTATGTTACAAGAACTACTACATCAACCAATCAAAATAATTGACATTTCAATATTTCATAGTACAACTATTCCAACATTTATTATTGTACATTAGTTGATTCATAAATATTTAGGCGACGAGAAAGATAGGTGATGGTTATTGTACCTAAATATCTTCTACTAAATGGTGGGCCAAATGAAAACATGTGGATAAGTCTTCGAAATATCGTCGAAGACTTGTGGAAGTTCACAAGTTATGACGCGTTTGAGTTATTGCGAAAAAGTTGGAGGAAAAATCAACGAAAGTATGCTCAAATCCTATGTAAATGCTGCTTATGTTCGTGCAAGTTAGGCTATGTTTGGTAAAACTAGCTGATAAGCTAGCTGACAGCTGATAAGCTAGCTTATAGCTTATATGTAATTTTTGAGCTTATAGCTTATAGCTTATGACTTATAGCTGAAAAGCTAGCTTATATGATAAAAGTGTTTGGTAAAATTAGCTGATAAGCTAGCTGGAATAAAAAAATTCAACTAGCTTATTTGAAAAGCTACCTAAACAAACTTATCAAATAGGCTCGAGCTTTTTAAATAAGTTCGTCCTACCAAATGGGGCTTATTTGAATACAGGTAGCTTATAAGCTAACCAAATAAACTATAAGCTAGCTTATTTAGTTTACCAAACATAACTTAGTGGTCCCCAAGAATGACATTCAACGTCAACCACTAATTGGTAGTATTAGTCAATGAGGGAAAATGCTCTTAATCCAAAAATGACAAATAGAGAAAAACAATGGGATTGTGAAGAGTATACTATCTCATCTACGGTTTTGCTATTGAGTTATCGACTCTCGTTGTTAGTGAAGACCTTCAAATAGATTTTTTTTTATTTTTTTTAACAAAAAGACTTATGCACACGAATACATTAACCATTAATGACTCCGTAAGAAAGATACACGCAGACTCCATAAAAATTTTGATCTAGTGCAATTATCAATGTTAAAGTCAAGTCTACCATTTTTAGCCTGGTTGAAAGATACTCCCTCATATTTTTAATAAATGTCGTTTTGAAAATTTGCACAGTTATTAAGAATATTTTTTTTTTCTAATAATAACCCTTATTAATAAAGAAAAGAGATGAATGTTTTGAGAAAAGATGAATAGTGAATATGAAAAGACGTAGAGTATTTATTAGCTAGATGAGAGTAATAATGAAAAAATATGTATAAAATATCCAAAACGACATTTATTTTGTTAATAGTAGATAATGTCAAAATAACATTTAAAAAAAATAGGAGGTAGTATGTTCTGAGTCGTATTAAATTTTATGTTTATCATTCAAACTTCATTGTTAGCCTGATTAAAAGATACTTATGTAGTCGTATTAAGTTTTATTTATATCATTCAAAATTCATTATTCTCGTTACATGTTACATATTTGTTGTTTTCGTCATCATTCATTTTCACGTTAGTTTCATGTTACATCTTTTGAAATGACCTGTTTTTTGATAATACTTGATCCATTTACCCTATTTTCGCCTTTTATTGATAAATTTATTTTAAGTTTTAAAATCTAAATTGTGGAAGTGTGTGTCATTCTAATTTTGACATGTTTATATACCTTTTTCAAATGTCTGTTTTAAGTAGAATAAAAAAGTATATTTTTAAATACTTAGGCCATATAACTTATATCCTACAAATGAGCTAAAATTGTGATTTAGACTAATTTTTTGTCTTATTTTACAATTTACAAGGAATGTAGTGTTTATCCACACCACAGTCAAGATTATTAATCAACCAAATTAATACAATGAAATCCATCATCTTTCATTGAGTAATTTTTTTTCATCTCAATTAAATTTTACAATTTTTTTTTATACTTGTATTTAATTAATCCACATACTATCTACAACTTCCCCTAAACCTAACTACCACTTAAGAGCAACCACATTATTTTGGGTTTAATCACAAAAAGTTGTACGTCACAT